TCCCCCCTCAGGGGGAGGTGAGCAAAGACCAGGCCAATCAGTTCATACCAAGGACCATTCATGGAGATAACCTAGAGCCCCTGCACAGATGTAGCCCATGGCAGTTCAGTATCCAAGTGGGTTTCATAGTAATGGGAACAGGGGCTGTCTCTGACAAAGTGTCTTAATGACCTGCCATTCACTCTGGAGACTCTGGAGAAAGGTCCTTTATTCAAGATACCATAGGCAGTAACACCCATTCACTCTGGCCCAATGGTCTTAACTGAGAATCCCACAGCCATTGCTGTGCTTGGGGCCATCTCCAGCTCACCAATCCCAAATGTCCCTTGGCTGATGCAGCCACAGCCCCACAGCAGGTGGCTTGGAGGTGGGACAGTCTGCCTCTGTGCTCCTAGCTCTGGCTCTCTGTGTGGTCTGGAAGGCTTTTTAAACGATTACTGCAGCTGCAGACCTGCAGACATCAAGGGTGGCTCAGTTATTTTCTGCAGGAAAGCAGTGTCCAAGCCAGCCCAGCAAGTGCAGCCCCTTTCTTCTGAGACTGTGGTGGGGCTGGGTGGGTGTCCTGACAAATGTGTGCTCAGTCACATGCAGCTATTTGCTCAGCACTGCCCAGGACCATGGGGTGGTCTGCACTGGCCTTGGGGAGGCCTGGCCAGTGCAGGGCCTGTGGGGTATTTGTCAAAGGGCATACCCCCACCAAAGCCATTCCTCAGCTGGCTGTGAGGCCCTGCACCTAGGAACTGCCAGGCGTGAGCGGGAGGAACGAAGAATTATGGCCATACTTGGTCTTAAATCATAGCTTGGTGACAGGCTTTCCAACAGTGATCCATGAGCAGCGGCACAGGTCTGCATGGCAGTGACTGTGGTTAATGTGTGTGAGCTGGTGACCTGGATGGGGTCAGGGCGGCCCCTCCTCTGCTGAGCTGCAGCTGGAGCTACAGGACTGGCTCTACTCTGGAGAGAACTAGGCCACAGCCGTCCCCTCTATGGTGACCTCATGATACTTTCTTTCCAACAACCAGAAGCGAATGCTGAGGCCTAGGAGATCAACACCAGCCTGTCCTGACAGCCCTGCCTTTGGGGACACTGATGCTGGTCATGTAGACGGCTCAGGGCAGACAGTGCGGCGGTGTATGGTCAAGGCGCCCACCCAGATGGTTTCACCAGGCCTGGCATACTCACAGTTTTCACCCAGAGCCAACGTGCATCCTGGCCATGCGTGTGCCTGTCACAGGCAGCTGTCATGTGTATCTCCTTCGGTGGAGGCAAAAACCCAAGTGAACAGAATGGGGACTGTGATTTCATTTCACAGGCGTGGAGACGCCTCCTACGCAACTCCGAGCTTATCTGAGAGGCAGGCTCCAGACAGCAACGTGCAGACCACTTATAAACTCTGGGCTTCCTTGGGGATTGAGAGAGAAGGCTTCTCAAGAAACATGGCTGGGGTCTGCTCTTCCTCGATGAAGATCCTCATCCCTCTTGGGGAGGCTCACCAGCTTCTACATACTGAGGAAAGGCTGGGGTCCTTCTGGGAACCAACTAACTCAAACATCACTGGGAGAGCGAGCCCGCCTCTGCATCTCACAGGCATCTGAAAATTCCCTGAAGCAGATGACTTGGCCCCTCACCACCAGTACCACAAGCAAGCACAACACAGATACTGATGCTCTCCTATCGAGGCTATGTACTTCTGCCCATCTGAGCCAGGCACCACACTGGCAATATCCCTTAGTTGGCCAGGCACCATCTGAGACATGGATGCTTTTTTGAGGCGACTTTTATCCACCTGACCCAGAGCAGAACACTCAAGGTTCCCAGCTGCTTCTGTGGCCCATCCCAGGTCCACATTGGTACAGGCCTCTGCCACTGCATGCATCCCAGCTCCCAGATGCCTCCCTCCTGGCTGCCTGCCTGCGTGCATGATGACCTAGCACTGGTCAAGTGAGCTCAGCTGACCTTTCAACCACACAGATATTCCTCTCCTCCACCCTAAATTCCTAAGAGGGAAAAGGAACTCTCTGTGCTTGAAGTCTTTCAAGCCATCCTCTTCACACCTGCCACACCTCCCCACTATCAACTGGCACACCTCAGGATGGTCTGCGTCTCAGACACACCACTGTGGCACTGGGCCACCTCAGCCCGCAGCTAGCCATGTGCCTGTGCACGCCCTGTTATCCTCACGCACGGGAGATAGGGCGCCAGACCACCATGAAGGTGACTCACGTGTGGCAGAGTGGGAGCTCTGTTGCCACAAACCTGCTGTTTGCCTCCCAGCCTCAGTAGCTTCAGCAATGGTCCATCAGGTTGTGCTGAGGCTTGTCTTGCTAGAGGCACCCACATTGCTCTTAGTGTCCAGCAGAGCCCAGGATCCCTCAATCTGACAGGTGCAGGCCACTGAGGGCATCCGTGAACAGGATGTGCACAGCAGCCTCAATACAGCTCCTCACGGCAGCTTTCATTTAAATCCCTAATAAGTGTGATCCCATCATGGTTGACAAATGAACCCCTGACGTGGAGAAAGAAATGCAAACTAAGGGTCATGGACCCCCCTATTGCTGCCCTGAGAAGTGGGTTGCCCAACATCTCCCAGCAGAGACCTGACCAGCCAGCCTAAAATCCCTATACACCAGGAATGCGGAAGTTCTGGAAAATATCCAGTAAAGGTCCAAAGGAATTCCTAATGAGGCACGGAGCACTGGAGGGGAATGTGGAGGAGGAGACAACAAGCAGGACCTAGTGTGGAAGCAGGAGCACAGCAAAGGAGGAACAGCAGTAAAGGATGCTGGGATGCCTGGTTGTCTATATGAAAAGAAATAAAACCATCCTAAATGTTTCCAGGAATTAAATGCAGAACCATTGAACATTCAAAAGAAGATGCTGGAGAATATTTTGGTAGGTTGATCAGGCAGGTTCAAACCATAAAGGGAAAAGCTAGGCAAGTTGGATTTCATCTTCTTTTTTTTCCCTCCTATAAGAGATACTGCTCAGCAAGCAATAAGGTGAGAAAACAGAGGTTATTTGAAATTACATAGCTGATAAGGAACTTACACCCAAAATAAAGAACTGTCAAAATCAATACTAATTAAACACACAGTTAATTGCCAACCAGCTGAATTTGTGGGCTTTGGCAAGGAGGACATCAGACGGCTAATGAGTGCATGAGCTGTGTAGCTGGGTAAGGTCTGAAGTGTATGGTAGAAGCGTGGGCTGAGGGGAAGACGCAGGCTCTCCAGGGAGGGGAAGCCTGAAGCCTGGAGAGCACTAGACAGTGTACAGAGGTATACACACAACTACCACAGACCCTGAGAGCCACTCTTTGTTTCCTTGAGACAGGGTCTCACCATGTATCCCAGGCTGGCCCAAACTCACAGTAATCCCCCTGTTTCAGGCTGAGCACTGAGACTACAGATATGGATATCACATCTGGACCTGAAATGTACTTCTACAGGGAGCAGCACCAGTGAACCTGGAGGGGGCAGAAGAAACACCCAGACCTCAGAGTCACAGGGTCACTAGGTAACCCTTCAGCTCAGGGGCTGCCTGCCATGTGCTACCAGACGTGGCATGGATTTGGTGACAGGGCCACAGATGGTTATCTCCTGAAATAAAATTGTCTGTTCCCGGGAACCAGGGCATGCACTTGGGACAGCTCTCCTGCTGACTACCAATCACAAGCCACAGGTGCCCTACAAGTTGCAGTTGCTATGGGTCGCCACAGCACAGTGTGGCCTACAGGAAAAAGCAAGACACCCAGCCATGCAACCCAGGCATGATGCTCGAAAGAAAAAATTTACATAGGAAAGAGGAACGACAGTCATGCCAAGAGCTGGGAGCCCAAGACAGCAGGGAAGTCTGTGGTTTGACAAACTGTTCTGCACTGTAAAAATCCATAGAATGTAGAGTGAAAGTGACATGGCCCAGCAGGCAGTGAGCACGTTTATGCACAACCTCTGTCCCTGGCCTGGGCACAGGCACCCAGAGCCTCGTCCGGGATATGACCCCTGGGCTTGCAAGGTAGGCTGTCCAGAGAAAGCAAGTGGTCCACTTTCTAAGTATACAGAGCTGTCAGGTCAGGGCTTCAGCCTGATGCAGAGGTCTGATGGGCAGGCCTTGGCACTGACTGGACCTTCCCCTCTCCTCCACTGCCTTTCCTGACAGGTAGGAAAGGTGGAACATCATGGCAGGGAAGTGGTGTCTCCAGAAACAAATGAACACCTCGCCCACTGGCCCACTGCCAAGATGGCTTCTCCGGTGTGATCATGTGTCAGATATACAAAACAAGGCTCCAGGAGGCACACAAGAGGCTAAGTCAGCAGTGTCCAGGTGGAATGTACTGCTGGTCCCTCATGGTGACTCTACCCATTCTTGACTTCTGACATGATAGAGACTAACAAAAAAGGTAGCTGTTCACAGTTTGGCTCTATAAATACAGGTGAGTTCTACGGTCTGAGTGAGGACTTCACTATATGTACTGGACAATTTAATATCAACTCAACACAAGCTAGAGTCATCTGAGAGAGAACATCAGTTAAGAAACGTCTCCATAAGATCAGGCTGTACAGTGGTCCTGGGTTCTATAAGAAAGCAGGCTGAACAAGCCAGTAAGCAGAATTCCTCCAAGACCTCTGCATCAACCCCTGCCTCCAGGTTCCTGCCCTGTTCTGAGTTCCTGTCCTGACTTCCTTCAGTGATTAGAGCACAACGTGGAAGTGTTAGACAAACAAATGATTTTCTCCCAACCTTGCACTTTGGTCATGACATCTCATCTCATACAGCAACCATAACTAAGACACTATAGTGAACCACTGATGGGCCAGGCTCCCAAGGCTGGGCACTCATCACACCAGAGGATAACAGTCCAGAAGGGGCCCTGCCTAAGGTATGGTACTGTGGGGAGGGCACACCTGTCCACAGCCCTAATTCTTTCCAGGTTGTGACAGAGAAACAAACAAGAGCCAGGTGATTTCCTCAGTGAAGCAGAGAGCCTGAGAGGAGAAGGCTGTGTGCATCCCATTTCCTTTATTTCATTTTGTAATATCATGAGAACAGCAAGGTGGAGGCACACTGGCAAGAAGTGAACCTCCCAACACCCTTAGCACAGAAACCAGAGAGGGAGCAGAGCCTGGGCAGCCATCAGTTCCCGCAGGAATGCCAGCTGTGTCCAGCGTGGCTCCTCTCCCATGCTGAGTGGTGTGCTGACAGCTTCAGATGCGCTGCTGGCAGAAGCTCCGTGTCCCTTAGAGCTCCCGCAGAAGCAATGCTGGTTCTCCCATGGAGGGATCTGTCTGCGAAGGGAATTACCTCGGAGCTGCAGATCTCTGAGAATCTGCTAAGTTCCAACCAGCAGTGCCATGGGCCACTAGAGCAGTATGTGGTACTTCAGTGCCCTGGGGACTCGGTTGATAACTAATCTCCCGTCGTAGCTGAGGGAAGCAAACAGCCATGGGTCGGCTGAGGCCCAATCCACAGCATACACACTGTCCTCGTGCTCCTCATAGGTGGCGATGACGCTGTCCTGAAGGGGTGCCTTACTCCTATAGCCCAAGAGACAAGAGACCCCAGTGAGCCAGAATGTGAGCGCATGTACTAACACACACACACAGACTTGGCAAGAACCACATGCAGCCTGTGTGGGGCCAGCATGCTGAAGCTCAAGAACCCTCATGAGAGCTGTGGAAACAAGGTACAACCTGTGGATTAGAGATGTCATGAATGCCTGATGATACCTTTTTCCCCCATCCTTGGGACTGTGGTTCTTGGGGTGATCATCTATCTGTCTGGTGTATTATAAGGACACTGTCTAGGGACCAGTACACTATGCTTAGCAGAATATAACAGCAAAGCTGCTAGCATGTGAGCCCACAGAACACTGGTAACAGCGGGGCTAGCTCTTTTTTGCACAGAGTAGCAGAGTCTGGCTACAAAAAACTCTGTCTAGGATCTCAGCTGAGCCTGCCCGTGGCACCAAGGAGAAGGTTTTGTTCAGGTATGTAGTCTACCTGGGTCTCACTGGGCAAGACAGCACCCTCTCCCCACATCCTCAGACATGAGCCCAAATGGTCCTCATAGAGAATCTGGGGCTGTCTGCATTCCCAAGGAGCAGGCCTCCTGGCCCTGCATCAGGGGGTCTGAAACCCCAGGGCTTTCTGTCTGGAAAGTGGAGACCAAGCCTGTTCCACATACACAGGCAACTTCACAAAAGGTACAGCTGTTCTGGCACTTTCTCTCCATTTCACAGAACGACCTCCAGGCATTGAATGTAATCTGGGCGCCCTGAGTACCTACACAAAATGCTTCCTTTTCCCACAAGACAGCTGGAGGTCTAAAAATCCTCCACCCACCCTTGAATTTTTCCTGGGGGTCTAAGGTATCACAAGGCCTCCACTTTCCCAGCAAGTGGATCTGCCAGTGGTCAAAGAATACGTTGTGACAAATACCAGGAAGTCTCCACAGGGAATCCCATTTTCCTGAATTCAGTGGCATCAGCGTGGCAGGAAGTCATCAGGACAGTCTGCCAGCCACAATCCCTCCCCTGCTTCCTTAATGCTTCCCACATGGGGGGCAGCACACACATTAATCACTCAGCAGACGAAGGGAACAAGTCAGCTTCTCCCCTGGCAGGGAGGGGGTGAGAGACAGCCTCCTCCTTGACAGAAGCCAAGTCTACGTGGCACCGGGAAGAGCAGCTGGAGCGCCTGCACCTGTGCTCAGCAGTGCACCAAGAGGGAAGTGACAGTGGAGGGGCAAACCCTGCAGACTAGCCACGAGAGGTGTCTCCTCACAAAGGGACTCAAGTGAACAAAGGAGTGGGGGGGGGGGGGCACAGGGAGTGCAGGGACCCACAGGGTGCTCTGGGCTCTCTGGATGTCCCACTTATTGAGTTTCACTCCAGGGCCTCCTTTCTCTGGAGTCTGGGCATGAATTTCCGGGGTGTGCCTTGGGGGAAGCCACTGACACACAGGAGCATGGTAAAACCACTGTAGAGGACAAGAGCATCTCCTTCCAGGGCAGGCTCCACAAAGCAAGCTACAGGCCCTGCCACTTTCTCTCACAACATAATGACAGCACCCGCGCCGACTTGCACTGGGAGCTCAGGCAGAAACTCTGTGTCTCATGAAACCTCAGAGTCCTATGGGTCCAAGAGACAGGAACCCTGACAAGAGGAGGGTACAATCATAATCATCTTCCAGTCACAAAGACATCGGAAACAGACACATGACAAAGGGCTTTTAGAAAACACTGAACCACAGTGCTATGACTAACTGACTCACTGACCAGGACTGAGAACCCTATTAACAAGCTGAGAGCTACAAGGAAATGGCCAGTGCTGATGATCTGTCCACTGAAAATCCTGTGGACATTGATGCTTTCACAGGGAGCGACAAGGCCCAGGAACTATCAACCATATTGTTATCAGCGATCAAATCTAGAAACTAGTCTTTCAGGTATGACATGTGGCATTCAGTAAGATGCCTTATAATGTCACTGCTCCCTATCTCACAGCTAATGACCTTCAGATTTGCCGTGTCCCTTACTTCTCAGCATGGTGCTCCTCTGGGTCACTGACGTCATCATCGTCCACCAGGTGGCCGAAGGGTTCTGAAGAGATAGACACCATGTTGGACAGGATGACTCTGCTGTCACTGCTGCCAGTGAGGACCAGCTGGTCATGAGAGTGGTTGTAGCGGACGCTCCATACCCTGAAACAGTCATGGACAGATGCACAGTTTTGAGTGAATGCATATGAGCGTCCCTGACCTTACTGGACAGGGATACACTAGGTACTCAATGTAATCAACACCAAATATGCTGACACCAGGGACTTTTGAGGAGTGAAAGCCTACCATGTGCTGCTCCAAAATATTCTTTTAGGACTCAACAAACAAGGCGAGAAGACTAAATGTCAGCTTGCACCTGCCGGCTAGTCACTCAGCATTCCACCTCCCTAGAAGCACCACACGGATTAGCCACAACCTGGAACACCTAACAAAGCCCCACATGTCTTTGTAGCTAGGCACTGCCACCAAGAAAAGGGCCTGGGCATCCCCCAACTGTCAGGTCTGATATTGGGGCCATTCTACCTCACAGTGGCCAGCAGCCCTGCTGAATTTGTCTCCTGATCCTGCTAAGACCACAGAAGGCTCTAGTGCCCAGTTGGAGAGTGCAGCAGGCCTCACAAGCAAAGCTGTGCTCAGCACAGTGGGAACAGCTAAGCTTTCTGCTCCGGCTGCAGCAAATTACAGCCATTCATCCAGTTCATCAGAACTGCACAGGAGGACCCTGGGGCTTTGCAGACACAGCACCACTTCTGGTAAGGAACTCACAAATCCAGAGATAAGCTCAGGAAGGGAGAATCCTGGCGGGGTACTCACCTGGGGAGGAGTCCTCAGCAAAGTGGCTCAGCCAGACTTTCCTACACACACGCACACACACACATACACATACATACACACTTTCTACACACACATTTCCCATATATACATACCCATACATTTCCAATACATGCACCACATAAGCACACATTTCCTATACATATATACACATATCACACATCATATACATTCACACATTTCCTACACACAAACACAAGTATACACGCACATATAAGTTTTGTTGGAATAAAAACATGATTTCATGCCATATATACTAGTCTGTATCTCATTCTATTTTTCTCTCGGCATATGGTACACATCCAGACAATATTTGGAGAGAATGAATGGTGTTGGGCGTCCTTCCATATCCACACATACAGATACGCCTCATTCCTTCTGGCAGCTGCATAATCTCCCTTGCACGGATGTCACCAAATTTACCTAACCAATCCCCTACTGATGGACATTTGGGTGGCTTCCAGGTTCCATGCGTGGCAAACAATGCTGTGTGAACATCTGCGCACATTTACTTTTCCACACTTGAACCGGCACGGTTTAAAGAGGAACTGAATCTGGTGTTTTTCTTCTTTTCCTACACTTATAAATCACAAACATTCACATTTGGAATTAGTGTTTCTTTAGGAAGAATAAAACTGGGCTGATTGAATGATTCACAGCAGCACAAACTAAGCTGGTTTGTGCTTTTCCAAATGGTAAAGTAATTAGCAAAATAAATTACATAATCCCCTCTTCCCTAAAGCAGCATGCAAATGAGTTTCTGTACCAGTGGGAGTGCTCCTCCAGGGTCTTCACAGGCTCGGTGACATTCCGTGTGTCCCAGAACTTCACCTTGCAGTCATCTCCGCAGCTGGCGAGGTAATACTGCTTGTTGGGGTTGAAGTCGAGGTCACGCACCAGCTGCCCGTGAGCGTTCTCTATGCAGTATATCTGGCTGGAGGGAGAACAGCACATGCAGAGAGTGAATGGGCCATGGAAGCCACCTCACTTTTCCAGGACTCTGTCTCAGCCCCCAGCTGAAGGAAGAGCTGGCCCATGCCCCTGTTGGCAGCTAAGCAGAGGGAACCCCAGGCTTAGGCGCCTGGGCTCATCCATGTTCCTCCCCTGCAGAAACCACTCATGGTAGAAACAGTGCTCGCATCCCAGGCTTATACGTGTGGTTCCCTGGGCCAATTGGACAAGTGGACAATGGCTTGCAGGCATCAAAAATATGATCTGGTGGGCCAATGAGATGGCACAGTGGGTAAAGGTGCCCGCCACCAAGCTTGACCACCTGAGATTGATCCCAGAGACCCAGACTGTGGAAAGAGAGAAACAATTTCTTCACATTGTCCTCTGTTACCCACACATTCACCAGGGCACAGTCCCCACCTTCACTCCCACAGACTCTAAAAAAAAATGAACGTAATAGTTTTAAAAGTTTTTTTAAATGTAGTTGGTATCTTGAGAGTGGGAGAGGCCTGAAGGATATTAACAGCCATGCAGAACCTGGTGAAGATGTGTGAGGACCCTGGCAGCTCTGCACCACAGAATGAGAAAGATGAGAGAAGACTAGACGACAATGGATAGCGAAGACTGGAAAATTATGGGTGGTGTGTTGCTGCTATTAGGAGGTACGGGTAGAAAGAAAAATGACAAATAATAAAAGTGGAAAACCCACAAGAAAGATGAAGGAGATGGGGCTAGCTTTGCTGGATTTATTCTCTGTCTGTTCCCACCCCCACTAGTTCTCAAGGCAGGAGGTGTGGAAAGGGGGTGTTTGAAATTAGCCATATGGAGGTTTAGCATGCACATGCTTGGTACACACACACAAACACCTGAACACATGTGCACACTGTTCATACACATATGTACTGTTCACACACTGCATGCATGTATACTTTTATATGTTCACATTTACTCCCTCTTTTCTCTCCTTTCTTTTCCTCTCCCCCCTACACTATCCTATCCCTTCTTCTCTGGGGGGTTCTCACAGGGTCTGAAGTCTAAAAATTCTGGTCATTATTGTCTTTCTGATGCTATGTACCCAAAGCAGAGTCAGGTTGCCCAGTGAAGGTGGACAATGGCCCCAGTTAGTGCTGGTCCAGGTAAAACTCCGATGTGTCATTCCTTTGCACACTTCATTGTCCCCCTCTTTCTCAGGAGGAACTCCATTGCTATCGTTGGCTTTCTCACTATGGCTTCAATAGGGTTTGGGAAACAACCTGAAGTTCTTAATTACCTTCCACATAGCAGAGCCCTATCACACTCTTCTACCCTGCAACAAATGTCAAGCCAACTCCTTCCCTTCCCCCCAGGTTGGATTCCTCAGTCTGGTGGCATTTTAATTAATTTGTATATCATATGTGATATGTGTGCATGTGTATATTCATGTACATGAGTGCAGGTGCACATGTGTAGAAGTCACAGGACAACCTTCAGGCATCCATTAAGTTCTGAAACAGGGCCTTTTTGCTGCTGTGTAAACTAGCATCCGCCATTGAGTTTCTAGAAATGCCCTAGCCTCTGCCTTCCATTACTCACTACTAATAGCAGGGTATGCTGGGATTACAGACACCCGTATCTGGCTTTTACGTGGGTCCTGTGGATATGAACTTGGGCTGTCAGGATCATAGGGCAAGTGCTTTTATCCATGGAAGTGTCTCCCCAGCCTGGCATTTTACATCTCTAGCTGGCTCCTATATACTGCACTTTTTCAATATTCTGGTATCCTAAACTCCCCAAATCAGACGTCCCAAACCTTAAGAACACTCACATGAAACAAGAAAAGCTATAAAATAAAAAATGTGGAACATTCTTGGGGTCATGGGCAGTTACAGGTGCACTGTGCCCCAGCTGAGCTTGCTTCAGTTTCTGGCAGTATAACTTTAACATGCACCAGAAGAAACAGTACAGGCAGCCTGGCTTGACAAACAAAACAAAACAAAACAACCAACAACTACAAAAAACAGCTGTTGCCAAAGGAGTCACCTGCCAACAAGAGAAGCAAAGGCTCTTCACTGTGGCGACATTTCTTTTGGAAGTTGGTGTCTTGTCAAAGAAACAACCCGGGCACAAGGTCACTGTGGGGAGTTGCCAGACAATGGTGTGTGCATCTTGTATTTTGGTGTGTGAGCCAGTCTTTGAGCTTCTCGCCTTCACATTCTTCAAAGAGCAGCAAGGAGAGAGGCCCAGAGGACAAGGAGAAGTGGGCTGTGTGGGATATCCATCACGGTTTGAGTCTACGGCCTCCAGCTTGATCAGGAAGCCAAATCACTCCTTTGTGCAGATATGCACAGGGGAGAAGTGCCGACCGGTTATTTATCAGCCCCAGATTTTCATGGGGGCCTCGGAACTAAAATTAAAGGTGTTCCCCCACCGTGGAAGAAACTCACGTTATTACATGACATCCGTCTCTTCAGCTCAGTGATAAATGATGGTGTGCTAAGGGGATAAACTGCATCTTAAAGAAGCCTGTGCAGGCTCCTGTTGCCATGGCAACAGACATCCCACCATCACTCCTCTGCCTATCAAATTCACAACTGGAACAGAAAAATCGCTCTTGTTTGTTCCATTAGAACTGCTGGTTGTTGCGTATAATTACTTAAATGACAAAATATGATTGCCCAATAGGTATGGCTCTTGAAAGCACAGAAATGGCCAGACAACTCCACAAGAGAGGCTGAGGCTGGGGACTAACAGTGCCAGCCTGCAGCGTTAATCACAGAGATGGAGCACCTGTGTCGCCATGGGGCTTGGGAGGCACACAGAGCCCTGGCCTTGGTTTCCTTCTACGCTGCCTCTGACACAGGAAAAGCTAAGGGACACCAGAAAGCCAGCAATGTGACAGCTCCCTGCAATGGACCTGCCAGCTTAATTTGGGGTGGAGGTAATTCCCACAGAAAGGAGATGAAGACAGCAGCAAGCCATGCATCCCCAGTGCCTATGGCTTTCAATCAACTAATTCAGAGGAAGGAAGGGAAGGGAGAAAAGCAGGGATCTAAGGTGTGGGCACTTCACTGACCTCATGCTCCGTGTGTCCCATCCTCGCAGGGTGGTGTCACTTGCTGTGGCCACCTGAGTACAGTTGTGGTGTGGGCTCCAACGCCCTGCGGTGAACTTCAGCTGCCCCTTTCCTTCCAGTGCTGCTGAGCTGGCCAGCTGGATACGATGGGTATTGTTCAAAGGAGAGAAGAAAAATTTGAACCCTTTATAAGAATCTCAGGATTTTATGGAAATAATTAGAACAATTAGGAGGTTCAGTCTTTGTTTCCCTCTCTTAAAAGGCAAGACAGTTTGAACCTTTTGGAAAAATAAAATAAAATAAAACTGAGCACAGCAAAAAATAGAACGTACATTAATAGCCCCTATTATGGAGGGCTTGCTTCAAGTATGTGATTACAGACAATCAGCTCAAACTTGAAAAGAACAATATGGAATAACTCAAACATCTGGCTTTCCCAGAGACAGAGAAAAACCAAGTCCCCATGGCCAGCTCCTTCCTGAATGACACATGTTCTTTAATCAAATGCTGTTCCCAATACACAATCTCTTTCCCCTTTATCATGAGGATCATGGGATCCTCTCAGTCTTCACAGGCTGGTGAGGCCCACAAAGCTCTTGGGGTAGTAAGAAAAGGGAGGCCTTGGCTCCAAGCCTGGGAGAGAAGCCCACTCCACTTTCCCCCTGTCTGAAATCTTCTGGCAAGTGCCCACAGGTCTTTCCATTTCCTATATGAAGCTCTATTTGTCTGGTTAACTTAAGCATCACCTCTCATACTTCCCAAACCCACTATTGAATCAATTTAAACCTTCCAACTATGCTCTTTCAGGACCCCTGAAAGGATGTGTGGTCAGGCCTGAGCAGTTGGGAACAGTCAGGTTAGGAAGGCGTTCTGGAGTTGCTAGTGAGGCACAACATCCTGTGCCAGGACCTGGTGTTAATGTGCCCTCCGACCATGAGAGCATACAGGTCTGAATCGCAGCACTAGGAAGCAGAGCCAAGAAAGCACGTGATGGAAGAGTCATCAGAGTTTCTGGGAGGGCATGAGAAACCATCCTCACCTGAGGCTCAGTCTTCCTCTCGCCAGTGGAGGCCACCAGCACACAAGTGTTTTGAGATTGGAGTTGTAAGATCCCTACTTTGAAAAAGCTGACTGGACAGAGACCCTGCAACAGTCCCAGCTGGGCACACAGACACAGGTGCACAAAGGTGAAGGCCCTACAACTGCATCTCTCACCTCTTGAGCCCAGATATCACCCAGCAAAGACTGCGTGAGAAAATGTCTCAGGCAGCTGGGACACAGGGAGTCCTGGCTGGGAAGAGGTTGGTAAGCCGGCCCGACCCGCAGACTTCATGGGAATGGCCATGGGTGCCCAAACAATGTCTAAAAGGTGGCTATGAAGATGTGCCTCCTCTTCTTCCCCAGGCATTTAGGGCAAAGTGCCCATCTTCCCTTCAAGGAAGACTGTGAGCTAAGGAAAGAACAAGCAGTACTTCTTTAGCATATGGCTCCCAATGCAAATCTCTCTGCCCTGCTGTTTGCTGCAGTGAGTGGTCACTGCCCAAAAGGTCTCTTCTCTGAATAGTGCTATTTCTCTATCCCCTCCCCCTCCCCCCCAAAAATCACACACACTCTGTAAGTCTCGTGCTCCCACCTGATTCATCAGCATGCTGTTTGGATGAGGAGCCCATGTCTGAAAACCCACAGACCTCACTATCACATGCCTGACCTTTGACACTCCTTACAAAGACCTGAGACCTTTGTGACCTGCTGAGCAGAAGCACTTACCCTGTTCCATGGGGAAATTGAGGCAGTTGTGCAGATACTAGAAAAAGACCCAAACAAGCACAGAGAGAAGAGAATCCCTAGGTGCCTGGGGACTCCGTGGAGTGATTAGGAGCAGCTATCATGTGGGGCAGGCCTGGGGAATGCTTTAGGTGTTGAAGGTGGGAGTGGGAGGAGCTGTGCCAGCACAGAGGAAAGAACATTCAGACAGATGTGAAATGTGAATGGAGTGGCCAACAACCCCTCGCACCTGGTGAGGCTGCAGCATGGGAACCATGGCGAGCCACTAAGTTTTCATGCGACAGGGCATATAACAGCAGTCTGCTCACATAGCGACATGCAGTACAAAGAGAGGGTGGAGAAGCAGGGCCTTGATAAGCCAGAAAGGGGATAAAGGGCTGGAGGTACAGGCCATTCTGAAGGCCGAGGCTTACACTCCCCAACAAAGGCAGCTCACACAGAAACTCAGGAAGAGAATGGGACAAGAGGAAGATAAATTAGAGCCCACAAACCCTTGGCTATCTCGAAATCATCACAATTATGGTGGTGGCTGGACATCAGAGTACTAAGGAGCCTGAGATCCCACCCACCTCTGTCCTTTCTCAAAGGCCAGGGTAGAAGGAATGATACTCAGAGCACCTAGCAGGCCATCCTTGGCCAGTTATAAGCCAATGTTCAGAACTCCCCTTACAACTCCCACAGGAGGATAGTAGACAGACTAGCCAATCAGGGACAGTCAAAAGGGGCCAGGTGGATGAACAGGGGTAGAGCAGGCAAAAGAAGGGTGTTCCACTAATGAAACTGGTATCCTTTGCCCTTTATAGTTCATTGTATCAGGTTCACAGTCACATGCTTTTCCTTATTCTTGCAGAATAGGGAGCTCAGTTCCACTACCAGGGTGCAGTTCTTTTCAGTCAGCAAAGGGGTGGGTGGGCTGCCTTTAAACACTCAGCACAGGGGCATGAGGAGGACTGGACATGTGGTTCAGTGGCAGAGCACTGCTCACCTAGCAGACACAGGCCCAGTTCTATCCCCAGTACTGCAATCAACAACAGCAAAATGCACACAGAAGGAAGGTTTAGACCCTGACTGCATTACAAGTGGACACTGTTGAGCAAATGAAGAGCACACTGAGATCCAACAAAGAAGCTGTCATGATGCTGCATAAGAGGGAGAGGCACGAAGCACAACATGGTACCTGGACTCTGAGACACAAGAAGGTGGTAAGAGCCAGCAGCCATTATGGAACCAGTTACTAAAGGGGAGAGCCAACAGTAATGCTACATCAAGATCTAAAAGAAATTCTAGCTGGGCAATGCACTTACTGTGGTAGCGCCCACTTGTGTATTAGCACACTAAGGATGCAGAATGGCTAGTCTGTATCTTCAAACATACCACGTGAATGAAAAAAAAAAAATTCTTCCTACAGTATCTTCTCAAGGTTTGCACAGAGCCACTAAGTCTAGTCTCCTGAAAACATAGTGTTCTCGTTAATGACAACTCAGTGACAGAGAATATACTAAAACACATAAGCTCAATAAGCAGGGACATTTTGTTTTGCCTACTCAACACTGGGTTCTCATCAATTCCCCATTAAGCACATTCATTGTTGTCAAAGTCTTTAGGAAAATGAGAGCATAAGATCATGTCAGGTTTCTTAAAGATTTATTTTTATTTTATGTGTAAGAGTGTTTGCCTACATGGATGTCTGTGCACCATAAGTGTGCCTGGTGCTCCAGAGCTTAGATTCGGACATTGAATCTCCTCGGACTGGAATTACAAATGGTTGTGAACCATCATTTGGGTGCTGGGACTCATAGCTGGCTCCTCTGGAAGCTAGTCCTCTAAACTGCTGAGGCATCTCTCCAGCTCCAGGTCATGTCTTAAAAGGTTCAAGATGGGACAGAGCAAGCTCACTGTTGAAGCTGTACGCCCAACCTCACAATATCTACCCTACTCCATAAGGACCCTGTGGCAAAGCCTAGCTAGCACAGCCTGCTTAACTCCACATCTGTGGGCAGTTCTACATTTCTGAGTCAATAAGCTATTAGTTAGTAAGCCATCAACCAACTACCAATTAATCACATGGCCAAACAGCAAGTGCTTACAGCTGTGCACATGCTGCCTCCTCACACTACCTGCCTAGACATGAAGCAAGGAGCCCAACTATAGAGCCAGGCAAGGTGCACAGAGCAAGCTATTGGTTAATTTCCTGATTACATCACCAAAAGTCACATGCCACAGATGAGGAAGCCTTGGCTGTCTTGAGAATTCAAACCATGGGGCAATGAAGAAATGTAGCAAATGTGTGGTGGTAAGCAATGATGGTCTAAGTTTCAAAGATTTCCCCAGCTGTGGGAAGGAGTGCAGTCTCCTGAGGAGCAGCCATAACTAAAGTTGGGAAACAGGAGTGAGGCACTCAAGGCGGAGGCAAGAACAAGAACAAAGTAGAAGGAAAGGAAACCAAGGCAGGCAGAGGGGCAGGAAATGTGAGCAGGGGTGGAGAAGGTGTGAAGATCATGGCAGGCAGAAAGGGTGCCAACCAGGATATCCGCAAGGTGGACAGGAAACCAAGCTTTGGGAAGATGAACTGTCTGTAGGAGCTGGAGACAAAATGCCTATGGCTGGTTACAATCAAGACAGTCAGAAGTGGCCTCAGTGACTCACTTTCCTGGACAACTGACCTCTAACCAGCCCCACCCCAGGGACACACTGTGAGAGACATCCTGAAGAGGTTCAGCCAGCAGGAGATACATACTTCAAAAGCCATGCTGCTCAGTATGGAAGCAGTCCCCCTAGGCAAACCTCCTGTCAGTTACTAGCCCACAGGTCCAGAGACTTCATGTGGAGGACCGCTGGACCACACCCAGGCCTCAAGTGGTTCATAAAATGCACACATACCAGTGTGGGCTGTGTGAGACAGGCAATGTTGTGGCCAGGTGTAAGGCAGCAGTAGAGGTCCTAACTGAGGTAACAGGAAATTCAGAGGTCAGGGGGAGACAATGAAAAAGAATCTCAAGCGGGGAGACTCCATATGACCTCCCCTTTCTTCAGAGATGGGAAGACTAGACCTCAGATGGCCAAGAGGCCAATTGAGGCAGAACCAGGATCTGACCCCTGATGAGGCTACAAACTCCAGCAAGGAAGAGAGAATACAAACCTTAGAAACAACCCGCTCAGGGCAGCAGCAGCATATGCTGCAGGGATGGCCATCACACCTGTTTTCCTGAGGCATGGAGACAACTCAGCAAGAACTCCACAGAGTCTGACAAACATTGTCATGTTTTCAGCATTCGGAAACATTCAGGGCTTCCTAGTCCAAAAAGGATGATTAAAGGCATCTAACAAATGCTTTCAAATGAAATGTCACTAC